ACCGACCGGAGGAGCCTGACCGGCAGGTCTGAGTCAGGAGTTTCTGTGCGTGAAGAGGCCGCCCTCCGGAGCGCCCCAGGAAACCAACTGTCGGCAGCCCCAGGCCGCGCTGCCGCCTCTTGTTTCCGACCCCAAAGGGGCGGAGGTGGGTCACAGAAGGTTCAGGTGCCTGGTGGGAGGAGGTGCCACTTCCCCAAACGCTTGAACCGAGAAGGCGCATAAAGATGGGACAAGCTGGGCGGCAGGCATTCCAGTGTTTCAGACCCGCGAGCGCAGCGTGAGGTCATAGAGCCGCGAGCTGTGAATTCTGTCCCGGAATCAGTAGCACAGACTCCATCACGGAGCCGGGAACGAGCTCGGAACCAGAGCCGCCGGCTGGGAACTGCTGTGGCGCCGAGCACGTGCTTTCCCAGCGGCCTCCTGTCCTCACAGCACCTCCGCAAGGCGGAGGGGTCCCCAGGCCACCGCCAGGGGAGCGGAGGCCCGGAGAGGTGGGGACACACGCCCAGTCAGACCCAGCGCCCAGCCCCTCGAGCCGGCGAGGTCCTGCAGAGAGAGACGCTTCTAAGTGAGACAGGTGGCGACGCTCTGTCTTCTTACACAGACTAGGAGACTATTCCCCGACTACGATAAAGGCCCAGAAAGAGCATGCTGGAAACATTCTTCCCAGACTAACCTTCATCTGACAACCTAGACAAGAGGGCCTCAGGACAGCCATTGGGCCACCTTGTTCCGTGACCAGCCTTCTCTTACTGAGAACCCCGAACTGATTGATTGGAAGCTTTGTCTCCCTGACACCACCCTCGTCCAGTTGGAAAAGCCCTTGCTTTTAAAGGCCGGTCACATCCATCTGTGGGAGGAGGCTAAGGCCGCAGTGAAGCCTGGCCTCTTATTGGTGGCCTCACCTCCCACCCCTCAGCAAGTGAGTGACACTTGGCATTGGCAAGGCCGCCCTGCTCACTTAACGTTTCGCTCCCTCAGCAACTGCCTTCCTAAAACGGCCCTGAAGAGCCTTCAGAAACAAAGAGGTGTGGGCCCAAACAAACCGCATCTTCCTCCGAAAGCCTGGAGTGAGACTTTCAGTGCTGGATATGGAAGGGGCCCCCCGCTGCACACAGCCGGTGGGTGCAGGCACCAGGCCCTCACCCTTAAACGCTGCGCACTGTCCACGGCAGAAACCAGTGATTATTCAGGCCAAGCTGCCAAGAGGGTGGGCTTGAGCCCTTGTGACGTCAGACTGCCAAGGAGACACAAACCAGCTACAGTGTCACGGCCCCTCACCCCCCACAGTAGGGTCCCTGAGAACCCAGAGTAGTGCCTGCAGAATTTACAGGCATGGAAAATGTCCTGGACATTTCTTGGACTAAGTCACCTGAAGCCCACATCACTGATGTCTCTGACAGCTTCCCCCTCCCCGCAGCGTGTGGAGGTGGAATTTAGAGCTCGCTGGGTCTCACCCCTCCCCAAGCAGATGGCAGGGTGCCTTGTCTTGGGTTTACACCGTAAATCAGTAACACGCAGATCGGAGCCCAGCCTCCAGCCCAGGGGACTCTGACTGAGCTGCTGTGACCAGGGTCCTCTTTTTGTGGAAAAAAAAGAAAAAAAGAGTCCTGTGATACCGTGCCAGAGTTATCTTTTTATTTAACGTTTAGAGGATTAACATATAGTTACAAGGTCAATATAAGCCTTCCAATGGAAGCACTTTATTTGGTTTAATTCGATCTCCAGAGACAAATGAGCGATTCCAGAACCTTTACAATGGGCAACGGGCCGTCACAACAGTGAAATGCCTCCAAAGTTTAGAGTTAGTGCAACACACACAAACAAACCAGGAAGTTTAAAGGTGCTCGACATCCGGTTACAACAGGATTTTGGATCACTTTTCAAAGACTTTTTTGATGATACAAGCACAGGAGGCAGAGCTGTTAGGAGGCATGAAATCAACATTTCTGGAAACATACTTAGCCTCAACGTAACTTTTCCATGTCCGGTAAACTATTTTTCAGTAATTAACAGATGTTAGTAAAAGGCTTTGGAGGGCTCTGTGCTACCCTGGAGACGAGCATAACAACCCAAAAGCCTCAAGTTGATCCTTATAAAAACCCAAAGGAAAATCACACTACGGCTTTCCATGCCTTTTTATTTGTTCCCATCTTACAAAGGAAAAACTGGATACAAGTTCCTCTCTTTCATTTTGTTTTTAAGTTATTTTCAGGGCAGGTTCTTTAAAAATGAGTCATTCTTACGACACAGCAATATTCTAGCGTTGGTAAACGGTGGGCAGTGGATATGAGGGGGAGCTGAGACGCACACGGGAGATTCCATGTTTCTACTCTATGTGAACTGCTCAATAATATTTAGAAGATTTCACAGTAGGATTCCCAGAGTAAATGATACATCTCAACTATCCTATAATAACTTACTTCCTTTAATAAGCCCAAGGGGTACAGCGTTGCCCTTTCCCCATTGCCACACAGACTGGTGGAGAAGCGAACATCAAGGTTAACATTGAAAAGCACTCAATATCCATTCTGTTTTGGACACAGGTGGTACAGGGGGAAAAAAAAAGGCACAGGGGATACAAGAGGATACCAGCATATTCTATATTGGGTTTAACAGACATTAAAAGAACAAATTACTGCAGCTTATACCTTTTCCCCTATGTCGTATGAAATTAACCTATCCTGACCCCTAATGTGAAAGATGCAATGCACATGCATTACTGAGGCTCTAAAAATCACATTAAAAAAAAATTTAGCATCCTTGTAGAGTCGAGAGTGGTCAGCTTGATTTGGTGAAATTCAGAAGTTCCTGGAAACACCTGGTCACCCCACTGACAGAGGAGCCCTTCATGGGACCGCTGGGACTGTCCGTATTAACCACACACCTGCTGGTTTGCAGGGACACGGGGAAGACCCCGACTCTTCTTGCCCTTGGGCCTCCTGGCTGCGCTGTCATCTGCCAAGACGATCCTCTTACAAGACTGAGGAGCATGCGACAACGCAGCCACCGCCGCTGTGCTAGTGGAGAAGCTCCCAGATGCCAGCGGCTGCAGAGGCTCACTCTGGGGCAGAAAGAGTGACAGGGTGCACGCTGGCTCGCTCACACCTGAAGCCACTTCGTCTTCCCCTTCTTGCTCTTGGCATTTGCTTGCTCGTGGTTTCTTGTCACGAGGGTTGACTGAGCTGCTCTCAGAGGGTGTGTGTGGTCAACCCTGATTTGCTGGAGATGAGCCATTTTCCTACCACTGAACAAAGGCCCAACCCTCAGGACCTGTCCTTTCTGTCCCTGTCCCTTCGGCTCCTGTAAGACTTCCTTGTCTTAGATTCAGAAATATTGAGAAGCATCGAGGATGTGTGAGGTGACCACTCAGTTAACAAAAGCCAGACAAAAGAAGAAAGATGCCGGATTGCATCTGGGGCTTCTGACAGCGTCCTTGTTCACAGAAACTCACAGCCAATGATGTCTCTTGACTGTTTCTGCACCAAATAAGTAGAGAAGCTGCGATGCTCTAAGGCATGAGTGGCCACAGGCGACAGAACCTCATGTTTTCCTCAAAGATCCATCAGAGGAAATTTAGCTCAAAAACAAAACTAATTCCATGTGGCCTGGAGAGCACGTGATAAAATGCAGAAGCTGGAGCCACACGACCACTTGAAGGACCACAAGCACAGGGTCTTTGGTGATGAAAGCACTAGGATCCTAAGATGCAAATCTTGGAATTTGTGGAAAGAGGGGAATTTCTCCTTTGCAGTGAGCTAATGCAGAGGTGAGACACTCGTTCACAAAGTGCCACGATCTGCAGTTCTCATGAACAGATGGACAACGGGGAGAAGGTGGGCTGGGATCTTCCTTGATCCCACAAAAGGCAGACACAGGCAAGACAGCCGGGCTGGCCCGAGAGCTGGAATTTGACTTCCGGTGTGGACTTTTCCAGCCCAAATAAAAATGTATGTGTGCGTGCGTGCGTGTGTCTGCGTGTACGTGCATGTAGGTGTATACGCCCCACTCTCGGACCGTGAAATGTGGCAAGGGCCAACGTTTAGTAGGAGGTGAGAACCCACAGTCAGAAAAGGACCACTGAATACTCAATGGACTTGGGAAAAGATGAGTATTTTCTAACATAAATGACGCAGGAGTGCATCAGTGACATTCAGGCACTCAGTCTACCTGGTGCGCGCCTGACCTTCCTTGTCCAGATTCTGTTGGTCTCCCCAGGAGACCAGTGGCAAAGTTTTCACAAAAGGCACAGGGTGAACCGTGGACGGGCCAGGATGCGCCAGGTGGACTGAGGGCCGAGGCAGGTGCCCGAGAAGGGGGACCACATGTCGAGCCACCTTCTGAGGCCCCGTGCCGGGTGGGGACCGGGACACAGACAGACCTCCCTGAAAGAGGTGGCCAGACAGGGCCTGAGGAGGAGCTGGGCCACGAGGAACATGCTGTCAAAAGAAAAGAAAGAAAAAGGCAGGCAGCTGCATGGCGTGGGGCTGTCACTTCAGGTGAAGTTCCGCGGGCCACACGCCAGCCCAGCCCGAGGGCCGTCTGTTCAGGCGGGCGCCCAGGCCTGTGGAGACAAGCAGACCGGAGGGTTTCTCCTGGGAAGGCTCACCCGAGGCTCCGGCTCCCCGCAGCCACCTTTAGGAATCTACAACACAAAAGAAAGAGAAAGAGAAAAGCCGTTAGAGGGGCTGGCAGCAGGTGGGGGGCGGCGCTCTGCTCCTCAGCAGACCGCACCGCCCTGGGCCTGGGGAGGGGAGGGGGCGACTTTAGAGCAGTTGGTTACCACAGGGCACGTCTGAGATAAGGAACTTTCACGGTTTCATCTGCACTCATAGCTGGTCTTTCCCTCGGGGGTAAGAGAAACCCACCTAGGAGACCATCCCCCACCCCCGACCCTCAACTCATCTTTCCAATAAACTGAGTTTTGAGACAGAGAAAGAAACTCAACCTGCCTCCCAGAATGATGCCAGGAACGGATTCTCTCTGAAACTGACACTCCTGGTTCTTTAGCAGTAAAATGCAAAATCCTGGGTGAAAAGGAAAACCTGTCACTCAGTGTTTACTCAGCAATAAACAGTGAAAGTTCTTCATCTTGAAGGGGCAGAAAAGAAACAAGAGACAGACTCTTGAAGCCCGTAGGTGCACGCAGGGTGAGAAAGAGAGGTGTCATCATTTAAAAGGTGGAAAGGGTAGAATTTTTTTTAAAAAAAGCATTTGGCTAGAAAATTCCCCATTATTGAAGACGAAGGGGTTAAATACTCGTATTACACAGAATAATTTTCTGGGAAAAGTGAAAAATCATTTAAAATACACAACACTGAGAAAAATACAACGTTTATTAGAGGCAGATACGAGGGTACAACTAAAAGGTGCCAGACAGATTCTTTTCTTGTAGGATAAGAATAGAGAGAAACAATCACGTTGGCTGTATTCAGACAAAACTTACTCAGAACCCAAGTGTCTACAATAAAATCAAGTGTGGCTCAGCCGGCAGGGGACCTAGCTACCAGTGTAACCGTCCTTCCGGCTTCCCCAGCAGTTACAAAAACAAAAAGGTCGTTAGGCAGCAGAATCACCAATAAAACAAACAGATAAAAGAGTAAAAACGTTAAAACAACGAATTCAAGTAATCCTTTTAGCTTTTAAATGGCAGTATATACAAATATATTGGGGTGGGCGGGTAGTTACGGACATATTTAACAGGGAGCAATTAAAAAAACAAAACAAAACAAAACCGTAAAAGAGGACAATTCACAATCCAGTTGACCAATTGGAACTTACTCTAGTCTAACTATTTTGGCAATTATTAAATAGTCACATGGTAGACACCACACACACACACACACACAAAAGTGCACTGGCAATACTGACAATAAAACAACCCCTTGTGAGTTACGGGTTTCAGAAGGCAGCAGCCCCACCCGCCTGGGATGGGCTTAAGGTGGGGCGGTGTTGCTGGGGCAGGCTGAACAGATTTATAAACAAGGTTGGAAAGAACGAATTACACACACGTAATTAACCTCTAAGGTATCTCTAAATAAAAGGAGAAAACTTTATACATAGGCTGAGACTTTGCTACATGAGAGGTAACCATTGGAAAAAAACAAAGTTATACTTCGGGTGGCAGTGGAAATTCCTGATTCCTTGGGAATCCTTTCAATACTTTTGCTAATACGTCACACACGGACGAGATGGGACTAAAACTACAAAACATCCTTCACTGTTGAGTCCCTATTATGTAGATTAAGCTGGGGAAGGTACTGAGGCATACAACTTAAAACAACGATCATGACTTATGTGCCCAATCACCCCGCCCATCCCCGAAAGCCAGCGAGCTATTCTGTGAATCAGATTTGCACAGCCCTAAAGAGGAGGGGAAAAAAAGAAAAACAAAAACAAACCAAAAAAAAAAAAACCCAACTTCATGGAATGTCATCCTTTTCAAGCCAGTCTTTTAAAAAATTACGTTGTCTTGCCTCGTTTTCAGACTTTTTCAGTGTTTTGTTTGCTTTCTCCAGTAATTCATAGTCTGGAAATGAGTTCATCATGGGATAGAAAGGTTAGGTGTTAATATCTTAGGTCTCCCATTCACTTGGTTACACGCCCAAAGCTGTGACCACCTACTGCGCATGAAAACAAATTCCCATGGCTTAAGGGTCAGCTCATTTTCTTGCTGTAATATTAAAAAGAACTGAAACGATTCTCCTGAGAGGCCTGGGGTCAGGATGAGTGGCTTTAGTGATGTTTTGGCAGCAAAGGTATAACAATGCAAAATAAGTTTGAATTACAAAATCATATTTTAAAAATTCAGGCTGACTAGTACTGGTTTCCAGCTTTTGATACTGGACTACAGCTGTGTCAGATGCAGCCACTGGGGGAAGAGCAATGAAGGGGACAAGGGCTCTCTCTGTACTATCTCTGCAACTTCTGGAGAATCTAAAATTATTTTAAAATAAAAAATGTTTTAAAAAGCAGGCAGTCGTGAAGCAAAGGCTACTAAATTCCATTTTGGTGGCCCTTGGAAAATGTAAGAGAACTTTCTGTTAGAATCTGCAACAGGTACCAGTAACTCCGGCCAGGTCCTAGACCCCCGATGTGTTGCTGTCAAGTTCAGAATCAGCTTGAAATTGATCTGAGCTTCTAAACAGAGCCCACGATGTAGAAGCAAGGAGCTAATTTCCTATTTAAAAGTAGGAAGGACACGAATAAATAATTTTCAAAGCCAAATAAGAAGAGAATCTCAACCCAATACCTTCATCTTGACTCATTTTTAGCTGGTTCTCTGTGATCTCAGGGAAGATTCTAGAAATGGGCACAATCATTGGGTTTGGTACCCGTTCATGCATGGGACTAATTTCACTACCTATCCTGCCAATTTCAAGATGCAAATCCCTACATGACCCAGATTCCTTTAAGATGGTGAAACATTGTATTTTGGCTACGGTTAATTATATAAAGTGAGCGAGGCATTCTAAAACAATTCTCAGTAAATTCACACTTTGGGTCTTAAAGATGCCCATGGTTAAAAACAACAAACAAAAAAACCTTGAAAGGTGACGTGCTGGGGTCTGTGTGTAGACAGGGTTGCTGCTGCACCAGCTTCTACTCACAGCCCAACCCGGGCAAGTGTGAGCTAAATACAGCCCCACCTGCCACAAAGCCTTCCACAGGACAGAAGGAAGTGCACTGTTTTTATATAAGTTCATCTAAATGTTACTAGCACGTCTGATCAACTCTGTCAGTTGTTAGAGGAAGGATCAGTAGTCACAGGTGAAAAAAAAAATCAACCAGTTGATCGAGTTTTCTAGATTTCAGTGGGTTGTTTAGGATCCCAGAGACAAAACAAGATAATACGGTGGCCTAGCAATGCTCTTAAAACATGTTTAAGTAAAAATGCACACTTTTGGTACCCATGTAAGAATCTTCTGATGCTTTACTGATTCTGTATTTATGAGCTCCTCCAAAGCGAATGACTGTAAAATTGAACAAACTAGTGTGGTTCAGTTTATTGTTACAAAATGTAACATTCCAAGGTAGTTCAATTACGGCAGATGTTAGATATGAATAAGACAACTGAAGTCTTCGCGGCACCCCTATGATGTGCATGGACTTTTAGATTCAGAAATACTGATTTGAAGCTAGAAGGCAACTTTTTTTTTCAGGGGGGGGGTTATCTACAGAGGCTGCCCAAAGAAGAAATGTTTATCAGATTTCAAACGACACAGGTGTAAATTGGCAGTTGGCAGCTTTCCACATAAAATGTCATCAGCAAGTGAAACTTGATTATAGTCAAAACTAGCCCAGGAAATTCAGGTGTAAGATGCCTGAAAGTCCACCTTGCGGCTACATGAAACATGGACCGCGGTGCTCCCCGTCCAGTCTTTTGAAGAACTGCCTTAACAGTCATAGTTGTGGGAAGAAACAACTCCAATTTTTTTAAAGTTTGGTTTTGTGTTGTTTTTTTTTTTTAAGTTGTATTAAATATAAGTCTTAGCACCTTTGGCATTTTTGTCCAAATAGACTTCGACGTAGGAAGTGGGCACGTAACCCTCTTCATCTTCGTTTCTCCGAATGCGGGTCCATCCATCTCCTTTGTCTTCCTCTATAACGTACAGAGTTTCTCCTTCAACTACTGAGATGGTTCCTTCATTCTGACCTGCAAAAGCAACATCGGAATATTTTAGATTCCTTGTGAAATCCAGGTGGAGAGCAAACAGGGAGCTTGGCAATGAAACAAGGGTGGGAAAAGATGCACTGACCCTTCAGTTCTCCTCCCACACAGAAGCTTCCAGGACCTGGCCTTGCATCTCTCTAGGACCCGCCTCAAAATCCTCCTGAAAACCCTCTCTCTGCTCCCTCCCAGAATGGAATGCATTTTCCCCAGAGGAGATCTCTGGTTCTCTCCTCTCCTCTTCCCTGAAGGTCTTCCTGTGGCACCAGTTACATCTCTTGACACAACATCCCCACTTTTCCTTCTCCCATTCTGTTTCTCATCTTTGCCTTCTCCCTGAAGCACATTTCCACCTTGATGGCGCCTGGGCACCAGGAACGCAACGTGAGTGAACCTGGACTCACTGTTTTTCCTCCCAAACTAGTTCCTCCGCCTACGTTCCCATCTCCTTGGATCTCGCCATTGTCCCAGGATGCAACTTCAGGGATCATCTTTGATTTCCTCCCCTCTTTGTCTCCGACTTCCAATCAGCCATGCGTCTGAGCAATTTGCTGGCTGCAGCCTGCCTGTGTCCGTTCCTTAATCGAGGCCCCCAAGACCATTTGCTACAAGAATTTCAAAAGACCACCCCCACCCCCCAAGCAGTATCCTGAAAGGCAGACTGCTTAGGGAGCGGTCAGCAGCGGCACTGTGGGCGCAGGTGGGGAGGGATGGTGTGGACGTGAAGGAAAACTGGGAACATCTGACCTGGTACTTCTCGTCTGTGTTTTGTCTCAATGAACGTTTAGTTCATTAAATGTTGGAAAAGTCCTACAGTAAAGAAAGCCAGGAGGGAGGGTAGAGCTCAGGGGTAGAGTGCACGCTTAGCATGCACGAGGTCCTGGGTTCAATCCCCAGTACCTCCATTAAATAGTAAATAAATAAATCTAATTAGCCAATAAATAAATAAATAAATAAATAAAAGATAAATAAATAAATAAAAATTGTACCAACAAAAAGTTCTTTAAAAAAAAAAGAAAGCTGTTTAAAATTCCTTTATCCCAGTGCCTCTGCGAGCGCTCTGACTGCTTCTTCCCCAGCACCCTCATCAGCTCGCTGCAGGACACCGTTTCAAGGCTCCCCAGTTTAGGAAGCACTAGGCTAGTCTTCGTAACCACTTCCCCCGTCTCCTAACTGATCCTACGCAGATGACAGTAAATGCCCTAAGGTACAGCCCTGGTCCTGTCAACAACCTCCTCAGACACCTTCGGTGGCTCCTCGATGTTTGCCAAATAAAATCCAAATGTTTCTCTTACCCACACCTCACTGGCACCACCCGCCTCCTAGTCTTACATTCCACTCTCACCACCTAAGACATCTGAGCTCCAGCCACACGAACCCCATGCTTTCGTCACTCCGTGTTTGGCAGGGCCCGTCCCTCTGATAACACTGCAGCATGGAGAGGTCTCTAAACTCTCTTAAGGAAGTGATCTCATCCTCACGTGACTTCCCCATCACTCAGCCCCCTCCTCTGGTAAATACTGCCGGGGGCCCTCTCCCATACGGCTGTCTGCTTCATTTCCTCCAAGGGTGGCTGCTGGACCACACTACCCGCGTCTCATCCCTTCAGGGGTCCTTACAAGGCAGGAGCTCTGTAAGCGTGGAATAAACGGATGAAATAATCATTCCATACTACCTGCAGCAGTTCACTCCCTGAAAGCCGTCAAATTGTACAGACCAGAAGGCAAAGGAGACAGCCATCAACCAAATCATAATCACACCCATAAATACTATGAGCAGAACAAGAGAATAATGAGAAAGTTCTGGAAGACTTCAAAAGAAAGAGAAGAGTGACTCCGACTGGGACTGGGCTCCGCGTGGTGTTACCTTCAAACGTGTAGAGAGCTTTGCAAGTGCCTATGGCAGGGAGCGGTTCCTCATCGTCAAACTCGTCGTCGAAGTCCGTGGCCAGCACCTTCACCTCACTCTCCTGACTCTGCTCCTCCGTGTAACTGCCATCCGGGCTGCTCAAGAAAGGAAAACACACAGCAACTATAGCAACTGACTCCAGCGAGGACTCGAGTTCAGCCCCCGCCAGAGCCCGGCGCTCGCCGCCCGCGGGCGTTGTAACCAGGGGCGTCTTAAACCACCCCGCGGGCTCCACCACCATCCACCTGCCCCGTGGGGAGAAATCCAAATCGCAGGCCAGTCATCAGACACTTGGTGTCTAACAAGGACGGTGTGCTCGTTTCGGATTCCAGAATCGAGCATTCAAAGCAGAATGGCCGCGGCCGGAAGGAGGCACCGCACAGATACTGTACCTCTCCCGGTCCTGCGCGCAGTTGTTGACCGCAGGCGCGCTCTGAGTGTCGTACAGCCCGCTCTGCCGGCGGCTCTGCTCGCTGCGCGCGGGGAGTCTGCCTTCAACCTCGGCCAGCCAGGCCTGCAAACAAAAGCGATGAAAGACGCTGGTCTGTGTCCCCTGGGGGGCCTGACCCTTTTTTGATGGAGGTACCGGGGATTGAACCCAGAGCCTCGCACGTGCTAAGCACACACTCTACCACTGAGCTACAACCCCACCCCACTCTGGAGTCTTAAGGACCGAAATTTGGGCGGCTCGGCTCCTTGATCACTGAAGCTGCCTCGGGAGGGACCACATGGGTCAGAATCTCCAATCTGTCTGCATGGCCCGCATAAACGTACTCAAAGGCATCTGCTGACATTTCACCTGAAACTGGACTGGTACATACAACTTGATATTTAGCCATTGCTCACAATGTGGCAGAAAGACACTGGACGATGTTATCCTCTTGGGCTTTTTAAGCAGCTGTGTGATTTCAGATAGGTCACTTCTAGTTCCTTCTGGTTCCAAAAATTCTGTGACCATGAGGTCACACTGGGAAACATGAGGGTACTGCCACACTTAAGCAATGACTCAGTTTGAAAGCCACATTTCCCATTTTTTTAGGAGTATAACTTTTTTTTAATAGTGAAGAAAAGTCATGCACAGGAAATCAAAGTAGATAAAATTATCTTCAAGGAGGCAGGGTATACAGCTCAATGGTAGAGTATGTGCTTAGCATGCATGCGGTCCTGGGTTCAATCCCCAGTACCTCCATTAAAAGATATTAATAGTAATAAATCTAATTACCACCCCCCAAAATTAAAAAAGACAAAAAAAAATCTTCAGCAACTTCTGAAATACTGTAAAAAAGGCAAAAGAATAAAAATGATCAGAGAAGGACATTTCTAGGTTCTAAAATATTAATTAAATACTAATATCTTATTGACAGATTCTAGAAAGAATGAAAAAAGCCATATTTGGCATTTCATTGCTAGAAATAATCTATTCTGATTGGAATGATCAGTTACTAACTCATTTTTCCAGGCTCTGTAATCTTACATTTGGGTGCAGGGGAAGAAGCCTTTTGTCCATAGCTCTTGAGTGGCCCTTTCTCTTTTTAAAATATTTATTATTTGTGTTTCTTCCTCATTTCTCATGTGTTTCTTACTGGTTTTCCCATATATCACCTTTTGATAATTGGGTCCTTTGAAAGAATAATGACTTAATTCAACGAAGTTTTTAAACTGTCTTTTTGATTCACTGAGATGATGGACAGCTGTGTACTCTCAGTCACATCCACTGTCAACAGGAGTGAAACACTTAAATTACAAAACAAAACAAAACACTATATACAAATATAACTTTAAACAGTGTCCGTTTTCAGGGACACAGCTGAAATAGGATGTGCTGAAAAGCAGAACCCTCAGTGGATGACAATGTCTTTTTCCTTTTATCAGAACTCGTGAAACACCTGACTTTTCCAGCTGTCTCTCTCAGGGGAAAGGAAAGCCTGCACTTGCCAGCAATATTCACCTCGTGACCCCCACCCCAACTTCTGTTTTTTTCCAGCTGAGCTTTTCAACAACTTTTTCATACCTCAAATTTCTGGGCCTCTAGTCTCAGTTTTTCTATGTTTTGGCTGACTTCCGCTAATTTGTGATCCAGGCTGGCGGGGTCTCCCATCTGCGGATTCTTTAGGTAGACATCTTTCATTTTTGTGATGGCATCTCTGAAAAAGAGAAGGGGCAGAATGTGGGAAAGGTTAATGCCGTCAGCTAATTATATTCTCCCACCACCATGAAAACCATGTGAATGGCAGCATGGGGAGACTGGACCGCAGGGTGGATGGGAAGGGAATCACACTTCCATTCTAAATTCTAAAACTTCTCTGCATGAATTCTACATGAATTCTGCTACCAAGGTCTGTATAATCTAGAGACTGATATTTAAATTCCAATTGCCTTTTCTGAACAGTATCTTCCTCTTGTCTTCAGCCAGTGAGAAATATAAATTAACGCTGTCCCTCCCTTTGCCCCAAACAAGAGACCAAACCCCAGTATTTCCATGTGCACATTCTGCATGCAAAGCAAAGCTACGGCATCTTGGGTCTTGTGGGCTGCAATATGTTTATCTTATGAAGAAGCACAGTTAATTGCTTTGGAAATTTCATTACAAATGATTTCAACTATTAAGAAACCAGGGTATCCACGACAGGCGGGCAACAGAGCCCTAAAGGGACATGTGGCACGATTCCACACCCCTCCTGGAATCCTGTCTGGCAGGCTGCTCTCGGCAGGGGAGTCGGAAGCCCTAGAGAAGCTTTGTGATGAACTGTCCAGCCTTCCCTAAGACCAGGTCTCCACGGGGGCCCTCCCTCCACTGGCGCTCCCAGCCCACTCACCTCCCTCTGTTTTCTTTATTTCCTCTGCATGTGTCACTTTCCAAAATTACAATACTCGTTCTGATGCTTCCTATTTATTGTCTGTCTCTCCTTCCTAGCACAGAAGCTCTCTGGGCTCAAGCCCGTCCATGAACATGATACACCCCCAGTGGTGGGACCACACCTGGTGCACAATAGATGCTCCATTTATTAAATGAATAGATGTCCCTACAACAAACAGATTGTAAGGCCATCCACATGCACACAACTCCTCTCCAGTCTGCGGCCTCCACCTCCAGCTACTACTGCCCTATTTCTCAGCAAAATGCCTCAACGAGCCGTCCAAGTTCATGATCTCCCATGATCAATCTCTTCAGAAATTCATCAATTTGATTAGTCTTTTCAAGGAATCGACTTTGGGATCCTTTATCCTCTCTGTTGAATGTGTGATTCTTTCTATGTAATTAATTTCTACTCTTTCCTTTATTATTTTCTTCTTCTTGAGAAAGATGCTTCACTCACTGATTTTCAGCTTTATTTGGTTCTAACATGTATTGGAAGCTTGACATTTCCCTTTGTAAGCACGGCTTCAGTGACATCCCAGAAACGGGCATGGAGAATGTATGTTAAGATTAAGGTTCAGTTCTGGTTCATATATTTTCTAATATCTATTATGATTTCTTCTTTAGTCTCTGTGTTACTTAGAGCCACATTTCTTAACCTGTAAATTTTTGTTATTAGAAACAGACTCACAGACATAGAAAACAAACTTATGGTTACCGGAGGCGGGTGGGGGAGTGGGTGGGAAGGGACAAACTGCAAGTCTAAGCTTTGCAGATACTAACTACAATGTATAAAACAGGTAAACAACAAGGTTGTACTGTACAGCACAGGGAACTATATTCAATATCTTGTAACCTATAATGGAAAAGACTATGAAAACAAATACATGTATGTATATATACGACTGAAACATGCTGCACACCAGAAATGGACACAACATTGTAAACTGACTATACTTCAATAAAATAAATAAATAGATAAATTTATTTTTGTTATCGATATCCAGCTTTAATTGTAGCCTTCGGACAACGCTGAATGATCTCTATCTCTTGATACCTGAATGATCTCTGTGTTTTGATGTTTGTTGAGATTTGCTTTATAAAACCAGGACATGCCCAATTTTTGGAAACATTCTATGTGTGCTTAGAAAGAATGTGGACCACAGTTACTGGATATCTGTGTATCAGGTCAATTTTGTTAATTATATTATTCAAATCCTCTATTCTGACTCTCAGTTAATCTGCTCTGTCAATTACTGAGAGAAAAGCATTAAAAATCTCCCACTATGATGCTGTATCTGTATTTCTTGTACTTATATCCAAAGGTTAATAGCATAACCTTTTCGGTATTTTGAGGTGATGCTATTGGCCCCACGGATGTAAAATATTATACCTTCTGGGTGAATCCAACCACTTGTAAAATTTTATACCTTCTGAGTGAATCCAGCCACTTGTTATTTGAATCATTTCTTTGATGAAATTGATCCTTTTGAGCTGAATAGTTTGGGGCGGGGCGGGGGGGGGGGTTGGCCTGAAAGTCAGTCTTGTCACACTGGTTTTCTTGGTTGGTCCCTGCATAGACTGTCCTTTCCCATCCTTTACTCTCAACCTTTCTGCACTTTAGTCGAATGTGTCTTTTGTAGTTAGTGTATGGGGGCGGGGCTTAGTGTTTTGTCCAGTCTGAAAATCTGGAACATATTAATGTGAACATATGTTAATGTTCACATTTAACATATTGATTCACTTCATTTTATGAACACAATATGCCAGGCACCGTCCTTGGCACCTCACACATCCCAACACACTTAATCCTCACACAGACAGGCACGTGAACTCCCTTTTCCAGGTGAGGAAACTGAGGTACCAAGAGGCTAAGAAGCTTGTCCAAAGTCTGCAGTAGAAACAGGTGGAACCAGATTTGAACCCAGGGTGTCTAGAGTGCTTCAAAAATTTTTTTAGATTTAATTTTTAACTTTTGTTTAACGGCAGTACTGGGGATTAAACCCAAGACCTCATGCACGCTAAGCACATATTCTACTCAGCTATATTCTCCTTTGTAACAATGTTTACAATACAATCTATTTTTCAGGATTTACTCTACCAGAGATTAAAAGAATTTAAAAAGCTACTTTTCTTTTGCATGTACTTAAACTGGACTGCCTTACCAACTTCGTTTGTTTATTTTTTGCATAGCCAAAGTTTAACCCCAGCTTTAATACAGCTAAATTTATGTAGGTACTCCATTTAGCCTGCTTGTAGAGCACAAAATCTCAAGTTATCTTTTAAGTTCAAATCTCAGTTAATGAATGATTCATTTCATTCCATCAGTGAGAATACAGAAGGTGAGAGGCAATAAAGTGGCTTTTCGGGGGAGAGGGTATAACTCAAGTGGCAGAGCGCATGCTTAGCATGCACGAGGTCCTGGGTTCAAGCCTCAGTACTGCCTCTAAAAATAAATAAATACACTAACCTAATTCTCCTCCCACCGAAAACCTAATAAAAAAATAAAAATACATATAAAATGACTAAAGTGGCTTTTCAATCAGGATTATTAGCAAGTATCCCCTAAATGATGTGATGCTATTATAGGTTATAAATGTGGGATGGGGAGTGCAAATGGGGAGAGATATTGAATCTTTTCTTACTTTTTTTTTTTTCCCTTTTTCTGCATGTGCACCAACCTACCATCCCTAGGATCAAACTTACAGACCAGCTCAGAAAAACAGGAAACTCTCACAGTGGGGGCCTGGGCAGGCAACCTTTACACTTCTGATGGCTGGTCATGTGCATACTCAAGACATACTGTGATTTGGTTTCCTAGACGCCATCAACACACTCTATAAAAAGACAAGATGACGTGAGACCTATGGGAAGGCTGATTTTGACTTACCCTCAAATAGAAAGGCAAGTACATTTTGGATCCAAAACTTGGATGTGGGGTAAGGAAGAGGGTGTGGGGGGGGTGGTCCATACCATTTTTCTCTTCATTTATACAAAAACCTAACCTCTAAAGACAAAGCCATGTGTATTTTGTCCCCCGATCTCAGAATAAAACCTGTTTGTTAAACGAATCCTCTCTATAACAAAGCAATCCAGCAGACTATGCCAAAGCACACGGCCAAAATAATCACTCAGATTAAACCCTAATGTAGGACTCCCCGCCTTTACAAGCGGAACTCGAATTTCTCACTAAGTCATATCGATCCACTCTACCTTTGATCCATCTCCTTTTGAATTTCTTTATTCAATTCATCGACTTTCTGTTGTAGCTTTTTCCTTCTCTGTTCAGGAGGGAGGTTGCTGAAATCTTCCGGCGTTGCACCCTGCAGATACAAACAGAAATAATCCAGAAAGGCTCATGGCACCCCTTGAGAAAAAGACACCGAGGAGAGCCCGCGGCAGAGATTTCCCCCGACAGCAGGGCGGTGCAGACATCTGCGTGTGTTTTCGTGAAACAAATTAGGCTCTTTCCCACGACACCCAGCTGAGATGCCAAATCAGTGCATGCAAACTGCAAAAGGCCCACAAACCACTCTGTATCCCATTCATGCTGGCCCAGCCGCCCCCGACGAGGAGGGAGCGGAGACAGGAAGACATACTTCTGACTCCAGCGAGAAGCGAAGTTTGAGACTGATTCTTCACTTTACTGTCCGTGTCGGAGGCGACACTGAGGCTTCCAGTTCATCTTTATATGAAACTGTGCTAAGTAGGGGGAGGGGACTGCTCAGTGGCAAAGTGAGCGCTTAGCATATGCGAGGTCCTGGGTTCAATCCCCAGCAACTCCATTAAAAAATATATATGTAAGTGATAAGTATCCCCATCAACTGTCTCACATCGATGGCACTGCTTTCCCCCCCCTAGTCTGAGTATTCCTTCCCGTCTCTTCACACAAGCTGAGGCCAAAAGTTTCCATCCCCGTGAAGTGACAGATGGCACATCTAGTTCCTCAGAGAATGTGGGTAAAAGGACATTTAAACAAACCCCTCCCCCACCTCCCAAGAACGCTCCCCTCTGCTGCCTCTTAAAGTCTGGTCCCTTCTTTTTGCCACCTTTAGGACCCTCTCGGCCCTGAAAATCAACTTCCCACTGCACACAAAATCAACCTCCGCTGTTTCTAACTCATCCAAAGATTTTGATATCTTGATTCTCTGTGAAAAACAACTGCTATCTTTCCTCTGTGCGTGTGATTTCAGCAGAAAACAGCCACAGGGAGTTTCTAGACTTTGACGGACGCTGACTTGTCAGAAGCCGCGGCTACGCTGTGGCTAGCAAGTGCTTTTCCTTCAAGGAAGCTGTTTTCAAGAAAGAGAAGTTTGCTAACTAACTGAGTACAAACCAGGAAATTTAAAAGGGAGCTTTTGCTTTAGAACCAAGTGTGTGTGTGTGTGTGTGTGTGTGTGTGTGTGTGTGTAGATATGAGTGAAACCAGAATGTAAGTGACTATTCCCTAGTGCCAAACCAAGGAAGTTCAATTTGCCTCTAAAACGAAGATGAAGCCAGCTAATCTTCCATATAAAAATAACTCAGACTTGTCCTTTCTTTTCCCTATACCACTGTGTTATAATACTTGGAACCTTAATTATGTGCTTCTCAATTTGCTCCACTCAGCCCCCGAACCCGAGCACGCAATCCTTCGTTCTCACGCTGAGCTGACTTAAACCAGATCAGCATGTTTTCTAGAAGAGAGGTTTTGCTTTTGATTTTCATGCTAGAACGTACCAAAACACAGTGGAAGATACACTGCTTTAGAAGTCAGGAAATCTACTAAGTAGCTGATGTCCATTCATACATATTTATTGGGACTATGTTCTATGAGGCCAAAAGAACTTTCTAGAATGATGGAAATGTTTTCCATGGGCATCATCCAGTATAGCAGCCACAAACGACTGTTGAGCCCTTGGAATGTGGTTAGTACAACTGCGGGACTGAATTTTTATATTTTAGTTACTTTTCATTTAAATTAAATTAAATTACAATTTAAATAATCACACGTGGTGAGTGGCTACTGTATCGGACAACAGAGGTCTAGACTGAACAGGTGTTAAGATTTGCACTGGATAAACAGCTCAAAGAAATCTGTAAGTAAAACACACTGAACTCAGGACCTAAAAATAGATACCCCAAACAACACAACAAAATGCAGCCCTGATTATCTACCAAAACGAAAACAATTAAATAACAAATGAATTCCTTTCACTGGATCAGGATTAGTCTAAATTGACCAATTAGGTCCCTTCCAATAGATACTCTATGTGCTTGTGTTGTTACTCAAAAATGAATCTCAGTGACCAGGCCTCAAACTTCCCATTCCCACTGGAGATTGAGGTCACCGGCTTCGCTCTGAAGAAACCTAAGATTTCTGGAAAGTACCTTAAAAAGGTTATTTTGTCCTGTTAGCCTTTTGAAGCTTGAATTCTTTCAAACAATACTCTGACCTATGATTCATTTTGCCATAAAGGAATTTTTATTTCTACCTTCGAGTCAGAACAGGTTTTCTGAACTCTTCGGAGGGGCCCCAAAGAGACTGGCCCTACCAGGGTTTGGGAGAGGGGCACATATGTATTTTAAATGGATATTTTTCTTGCTATTGGAATCAAACACTTGCTTCCGGGCAACGATACAAGCTGCTTCTTAAACTTTATAATTTTTACACCCAAGCTGTCTTTGCGCAATAGTTTCTTGCTTTATTAGCTTCAAAACAAGTGTATCATGTAACAATTCTGTACCAGGTTGGTAAAATTATTTACCTCAAACTGAAAGACTGCCTAATAATATAATTTTTGCTGCTGGCACCTCAGCAAAAGAACAGATTAAGGACAAAAAGTGAACATTTGAGAGAGTCCCAGTTAACTGAGCCAATTTCTCCCAAATTCACACTGCTGATGACAACAGTTCATTTAAGCATCTTTTTGTGGAGACCTCAAGCAACAGCTCTTCTCAGGATTTCATTTCACAGTTTAAGAAATGTTTAATAAGGTATTTTTTTCTTTAGGGCTGGATCAGTTGCCAAATGCTGAGTGAGGTTGAAAAAAGTATGTGTATACGTTTATGTACATACTTGAACACATACAAAAGCATCCACAAGGATAACCACAAAATATTGTCCTACGTTCTCAACAGCAATGCATAAAATGCTGGTCTTATTCTTCAGTTGAACTGTCAAAATTCATCCTTGTCCATAACGTCAGGACAGTCTCAGCTGTGGTGTTTTGAGAATTCTACGTCACTTACACATATTTGTAGTATAGTAATGGGTTATGTGGTTAAGAGGTTTGTATTTTTTTAATAGATTTAATGATTAGTTTGACTGTTTATTCTAGGGCTATGCAATTAAGGTAGAAACAACACTGAACTGTAAATAAGTCATTTTGGAAAGGCTTAGGAGGCTCTTTTCATTGTCCATAAAATTGTCTTTGATTTCTCAAATCAGCTGTGCATTAGGCACCAAAGTATATTTAGGGAGCACCTTAAAGATTTCACGGGCTTCAGTTCTCAAAGGCTGTCTCAGACCTGAGTTGAGACCAGCATCATTCTGCCAAGTCTCCCTCAGGTTCCCAGCATTTTTTCATCTGCTTCTGTGGCTCCCAGGGAGGAGCAACTTTCAGCTATTAAATTTGCTTTTATTTGAAATGATCCAATAAATAAACTCCCTCATATTTAATATTATACTTATGTTCATATTTAAATAAAGTTTATCAACATCTGTCATCCTCTTAAGACCCCAGTGATAAAGATAAAACAAATCATGAGTTAAGCGTTAATTTTCTTAGCAACTTGAAAAGGTTACGACCCCCTCTGTTAGGCTCTGGAACTTTGCATTCCAAAGGTCTCACAAAGAAACACCAACAAGGCACAGAAAGGAGAAACACAAATCAACAGTTAACTTTAAAGATGTGTTGTACACGGCCCAGCACCCACAAAACACACACCAAAAAAGCCTGATTAGATTCAGGACATGCATGGAATAATTGTGCTTACCAGCTTGAGAGAAAGCTTCATGTAAAAATTGAAGGAGTAACAGGGGGAAAAAAACAGAGAGAGAGAGAAACAACAATACATGAGAAGAAGAGGAACTTGGTCCGTTCCACTGTATAAACATAATATGTAAATTCACCTGGCGCTTTGTGAAAATGATTTGTAGCGGATCTGTGCCAAAGTTCCCAAGAGGGGCTGAACTCCCAAAACCTTTCTTTAGCTGCCACGTTGCCAGAGCGAAGAATAAAGACAGAAAAGGAGAGTTTCTGTTTACTGTTCTGTATTGGTCACATCAGCCTTGGTATAAACTACGTTTGTAGTCGGTGACATACCATGATTAAAAAAGATGGAAATAATCACATAGCCTTTTGGTCACCAAATTTCCCGTGGGAAGTTTCACACAGACTCGAGTCAGAAAAGCAACGACTTCCACAACATACCAGTGGTATTTTTACCTTAAGGAGATCTAATAAATAATAACATTGCCATTTCCTAAAGGTAAAGTCTCAAAGTGGTGAATGGGGAACCAGGACTGAAAGATGCTCTGTGAATCTATCTGCAGGAGCCAGGGAACTTCTCAGTGCCCGGCTGGAGGTGGAGAGCGTGATGCTTGCTCCCACCTGTGCACTGCGGGCACCTCCTGCTCAGCGGAAGGTGTTTTCTGGGGCTTTTTATGGAACTCGGAGTCCTACTGACAGAGGTTCCATAGGACCTGGGGAGTTAACAGAACTTGCTGCTTTTGCAAGTTACCTTTAGGAAACAGACAGCCAACTGTCTTAACTACTGAGGGGTACTCACACCTTCTTATCGGGATTTTCTGATAATTATCAGGACACAGCAGCTGCAATTTTGCTGATCCAGAAGATCAGTAAAACTATAAGGATTATGTGACCTAAAATGGATTACAAGGCACCTCAAAATTGGGAAAAGAAACATTGGTCCTTTAATAACAGGTGAGATGTGCTTTACGGCTCTAAAGCAGTATTTCAAGAGCTCAGGGCCTGTTTACTTAGCTGTTATCAATCCTAAAAGTTCAGGCAACTGGCAGTAGGATCCAAAAATATGTTGGAAACAAAATACCAAAGAAAGCGTCCTTTGATTTTAAATTGGGAGAAGTTGTTAAAATTCCTTAACCAGATTTTAAAAAATCTTATTCTTAAGATTAACTCAAAGTTGATAGTTCTTTGTCAACAGGCATTAAGCTTTTAAAGAAATTGTCCCTATGAGGAAATAGACTTTTTTTTCAGTAGGGAAGGTAATTAAGTTTATTTGTTTATTTATTTTTAGAGGAGGTACCGGGGATTGAACCCAGGACCTCGTGCATGCTAAACATGCACTCTTTTGCTTGAGCTATACCCCACCCACCCCTCAACCCTGGAAATAGACTTTTAAGGAAAGAAGTAGCAAGACAAAACTTTGGGGGGAAAAAAATGTACAGTCATATCTGTGACCACTCTAATATGGGTAACCTCCGTTAACACCTTGAGCCCCTCCTGTAAACTTTAGCACAGATCTGTTCATCACAGTTTGAGGTCTTTACAGACAACACTTATGGTGCACAGCAGAAAACTTTGCAAATATCTTCCCTACAAAGCACACGACCATATACAAATGTTTTCTGACATATTACCATGTAAATGTCGCTAACTTGAACTCAGCATATTATCTGCTCTCTATCCGGCTACTTCCGTTGCTTAAAGTTGTGTATTCTTTCTTAAGCATTCTGAAAACTGAGTTCTAACATCAAAACTAATAGCATAGGAATATTACCACTTCATCATAAAAACAAGTCATTAATTAGGATTGAGAACAAATCCCGGTAGAAGTAGGAAATAACGAATTCTCAGACAAATTTAATTTTCTGAAGTGGACAGTGATGGGTCTTCCATAAGAAGTGCCATCACGGTATACGGTATCCGGTATCCTTTTTTTAAACAGCTATAAAATGGTTTTTGGTCTTAAGTTGTCAGCCAGCCCGTTAGATCACTTCAAATTCGAAACTGAATCGTCTGCCAAGAGAACATTTTTAAAGGCTGCCTTATTAAGTGCATTGCGAGACACCTGGAGAACTAAAAAGCTGTCAGTTTCAGGCAACAATTACGGAGCCTGGCGAGCCACAAGTGTCAATAACACATGAGGGCACACACAGCTAGCGGGTCCATGTGTTATTGGGCCGTCACAGGTACTAACCTCAAGTACAAAGAAAGGGGACGGTGAACATGAATGTACAAGGAACTGTATTTTAAGGTCCACGGAAAGTCATTTCACAGCTCCGTGACCTTGCTCAGGCTTCACTGATTTTTTTTGGTTCTCCCTTACAGATCCATCTGTTTCAGACGTAGGTGTGGGTAAGCGTGCAACACACTGCCGTCTGCGAGGGTGTCATCCTCTCATGACCACGCTCTGCAGCTGCGTTTTAGGGGTGATATTCTGCTCATAAAATCATGCCCAGGGACATTGTCTCAGACGGTAGTCCCAGTCAGTGAAAAGGGGGAAAAACCAAGCTCAGCTCACTGACATTTTTAGGAAGTTTGATTGCTGTTGGGAAGTTTGGTTTCTTTTTTCCATGCAACTTTTTCCAGATGAAGAAGCCTGTGGTTGAATTGATACAATGAGGCTTTTCCCAGTGTCCAGGTCAGAGAGCGTCTGGGTCCCCAGTCTTGGTGCTGTCAGAGGGGTTAGTGCCTGTGCCGTGACCGTACGACCTGGCCGTCACAGGTAAACTTACAACATAGTCCCTAGCTTCAAAAGCATACGTGGGTTTCCCTATCGTCCTCTTCATGAGTTCTTTGTGAAAACAGAAAGACTGAGTCTGCCAATAATCAGCAAGAGAACAAGATAAATAAATAAAATGAAAGGAATCAGAAGATTGTAACATCTGACAAACAATTGATAAGAATTTTCAAAATACTTTGCTCAACTTTGATGGTATTTTTTTCCATACAGTGAACTCCAAAACATGGGGGATATATGTCCACATTTTAGATTTAGAAGTCTTTTGCTCAGACCAGGAATCTTAAGACAATAAGGTTACACTTTGTAGACTGCAAATTGAGAACACACAATCTAGTTTCATTTTCCTTCGACTTACATAGAGATGAAATACTGGTTAATAACGTTCAGGTGGCATGCCAATCTTTAAAGATGTTCAGCGAGACAGAATTTTCATACAAATGTAAACGATTTACAACAAAAAATACTTTATCCTATTTTGTTACTTAGAAACAAAATCATTATGCTAAGAAATGTTTATGTAGGATTTATACATTCTGAATAATAAAAACAAATTAAAATCTGGATCTGAAAGCTGCAAAACATGATAAATTCAAAGACATATTAAAATCACAGATTTGTTCATCTCCTCGAATCCTGTCTTTGGCACAACACTCTTACAGCTATAAAGCAGAGTGAATGAAGCAGTAGCAAGAACTGTATCATACGAGTCATGGATCCTGCTAAATCATGTTCCTTCTGTTTTGAAATTGCTTTAAAATCAAATTTATTTCCCAAGATTTCAAATTTTTTTAAACTTCCTACTCTTACTTTTATAATGTATTTCCTTTTCTCCCTTCCTTCCTTTCTTTCTCTTCTTTTTCGCACTGCTACTTCCTGAAGGAAGGCACATCACATCTGACCCTAAGAACAAACCAACTAAAAATAAAGGAAGCAAGAATGTTTCTATTTATGCACTGATTCTTTTAGAGTGGGTATGTGTGTATGTTTATTCTCAGAAACACGTGCACCACTTAGAAATTTTTTTCTAAATAAAGGTTTTCTGAGCACAGATTTGAGGTGTAAGAAATAAAATTTATTTTGCTAATGACGGTTTTTTTTTAAAAAAGGGAGGGGATTCCTCTAATTAATCAAAACAACCCATTTCTCATTTCACTGTTTTTATTTTCAAGGATTAAATTTTTCCCTAGCCATCTTCTCTTATCCTGAGTGATTACTGACACTCTGGTCTTTTCCTAAACTTTAGAGAACACCATGAAACACGACTCAGAAACCATTTGCAAACAGCAGACTGTGGTGTTGAGAGAAAAATGGAATAGATACATACACAAATGGTAAGCAATCATGAATATTCAACATACTCCATTATGAAATTCCAAATGACAACGCAGAGATATTTTTATAAATATTTAACACATGAGCTCCGTAAAGGTTTCGGAAGCGGCAGAGATGGGGTAACTGATTTAGTTAATGTAAAACTTTAGCGTCTACAGTCTAGTATAGCAACATACAGTCTCATACGTTGGAAATTCTTTGATGAACAACGACCAGAGATGGATGGAGAGTTCTAAAAGCCAGCCTAATGGAGCCAGGAACTGAGATCTAATTATAGAACTCAACACAATCTATCATCCACTTTGGAAGCTATATTCTGCCTTCTAACAAGGGCTCTCTTGAAATCCTTAGGAAGTTAAATTTCTAATTCTGAACCTGATATGCTGGGCAACCTTAAAACAGGATAATTCCACCAACTGTATTTTTAGCACAAAATTTTGAGACCCCCTATTTAAAGGAACTCTGCATATAAAGAAATGAGTTTTTGTCCCTTATTTTAAAAAGTAACAACTTGGTTATCTATTATATTTACTTTTTTTTTTTTTTTTACCCAGAGAAAGACAAAAGTAGAAATTATATTTGGACAAGAACATATCCCACTACAACCTTATTGCAACTCCCATGGGACAGAATAAAAGAAGACCTTATTGGATATGTGAATGCACTTAACGTTTGTTTACTCATAACTTATTATAAAGAATATCTGGGGACAGCTTAGACTAGACTGACAATTTAGGTTTATTCAGGAGGCTACAAATTACCTTGTTCCAATCTTTTTCTAAAAACCACAGTGGTATCTACTTTGGGTTGCTGATGGGTTCCACGAAACCCTGTGACTTAAGCACATGCCAGTCTTAATTGGAACGGCAAACCTGAGTCTGAACAGCATCCCTGTAGGAGGCAACCACATTGTAACAGATTGTCCCTGAGCGTGGACGTTACAGAATCTCTGATCATAAGCAGGCTCCCGGCGTTAAATCCTGGCTCTACATCTTCCTGGCTTCATCTTTGTATGCGTCAGTTTTCTTATCAGTAAATTAAGGAAATGCTTGGTACCCTGGTTCGTAGGGTGGTTGAGAAAAATAAATGAACACATAGAACAGAGCCTGGCATATGACAAGCACTCAATAAACGTCAAGCACTATTATTTCACCCTTTAGAGATAAATATTGCATTAGGCTTACTGTAGTCAGATCTGTTATCAGACATTTAATCAACATCTTGTAAGTTCACCAAAATAGCTGAAGAAACCACTGTAACCCGTACTGTTTCCCTCTCCAACCCTGAAGCTGGAGGCTCAGAGAGAAGGACCTTCATTCATCACACACGCATCACTTCAGTAATGATTACACAAATATTTTCCGCCTCTATGGTGATTTCCAATTCCTTGTAAGTCGCTGGCTTTAGAAACAGAATCTAAGTTCCCTTTTTTGGGGGGGGGGGTAAAATCAAGGTAAAAGATTAATGACTTCGATGTTTTAAAAAGGAAATGGAAAAAAGCCATTCCGAAATGTACTACAGACAGAAAAACTCTGGGCTGGCTGGCTGCCCCTCTTCTCTGCTCTCATCCTTCTGCTTCCTTCCTTCTTCCCTCTCTCTGTCGTCCATCTTTCCAGCTCTAATGAATCATAGGTTCTTATTGTTTCATGTTATGGGAAAACACAGTGGAGTCATTCACAAACAAAATAAGTTAGGCGGAACAAAACATGCAACCAAAGCGCACAAGAGAGACAGGATTCCAGAGCAGAACTTACCCCACGCTTTAGACTCCGGAAGCAGTGGATTTTGGGTTTGGAGGTCATGAACTCGTTGAAGCGATGGGAGAGGGGTTCCTTTTGCTGCTTGGGAGACTGGGGGCCGTTGGGAACAGCAGAGGGTGAGGCAGAGGCAGGGGGAGGTGGGGGAGGCTGATGGGGGGATGTTAAAAGGGACATAAGCTACGTGTAAGAGATGGAGCAGTGACAGAGTAAAAATCAGAAACAAGAAGATAAGACACAAAACAAAAATAAGCATCAAATCATATTTGAAATCCAAAGCAAGTCCAACACAAACGATTAAATATTTAGGCCATGGTCCAAAAGAAAACATGGAAGAATATGTCAAATGAAGAATGTGATGGAAGTGGGAGTTTTAGTAAGTCAAGCAACAGAAGAATAGCAAGAAATTCTGACAAGGAGCTCATGCAAGACTTTCACATGCAAACTACAGCTCTAATCAGTTACTCTACACCAGTGTAAGCCAGAAGGGTAAATATTTCTAAACCACCTAAACTAACACAGCTCGATGGGAGAAAATGAAAGTCCTTAAGTGCTAAGGTTGTGAAAACAGCAAGACAGTCTTTTAAAATGAAATATTAAATTATTCAAAGGTTAAAGCCGTAACGTCGCCTCGATCACACTTTACCCCCAGGTTAACGCTGTCATGCACCTACGTATCACACTATAAAAAGAAAATGAAAAATGTTCATGGATACACATGTTAACATGAATTCAAAACCAAGTTATTAGCTCAGGGGAACGATTTCAATTAGATATGGCTGCTACACGGTTATAGAAATTTTGCGCAACGTCCCTTCTCCCCATCCCAGGTAACCAGAGTTCTAGGAGACTGAGGAGGGAAAAGTGTGATGCAGAACGGCCAGAGGTCAGTAGTCTGTTAGTGTGGGTGACACGGTGCAGGTGATAATGCGTCTGAAATGACCATGGCAAAGGTACCACCACCAAAGAGAGATACTGTTTTAAAATAAAATAGCACGCTAGCTTTGCTTCTCGCATTCTAAAACTACAGGCTTAAAATCTTAGTTCCTTTAAGACTAAAAGATACAGCCAAGACCTCCACGCTTTATAACATTCATTTCACACTGGGTCCAGCCATCAGTACCTTATTTTTTTTGATGAACGGCCACAGCTTTCCTTTGGATTTGCCACCAAATTTCAGCTCTGGTTTGCCGTCGCCTCTGGAATTCGAAAGGCTGTTATCTGACACAGTGCGCTTCATCGGCTGAGTGTAATCCTCAAATTCAATGTCTCCGGGAGGCTCAAACCCAGACTTATAAGCTTCTACTACCAGCTGTGAATCCTGAAATTACACGCATCACACACAAATATGTTCAAATACTTTTTACACAATGAACTATGATGAGTTCATACAAATGACATTCTAAGTAAGTTATATTGATTAATAGCACTTTTTTTCCTAGTAATATTTTTATAATTAGAAAGAATAAGTAACACTGGGAAATATATACAAGATCTTGTGGTAGCTCATGGTGAAAAAGAACGTGACAGTGAATATACGTATGTTCATGTATACCTGAAAAATTGTGCTCTACACTGAAAATTGACACAACATTGTAAACTGACTATAACTCAATAAAATAAAATTAAAAAAAAAGAAAGAATCAGTATAATTTGTAAAGCCGTATGTTTAGTTGAGATTTGAGGATACTTTTTTGGGGGGCATTAATTTAATTTATTCAACAGAACATATCAGTAAGTCAGAGGAAAAACCACATGCACAGATCAATAAGTACTGTTCAGACAGTTGATAAAATTCACATCAATTCCTGAAAAAGAAAAAAAAATTCCCCCATATGATAAAGAATATCTTTTTTAAACCAACTTCCTTCCTTCTAATGGTAGGAGCCTTAGAAGCAATCTTATAAAATCAAGGACGGACAAGAACGTTTACTATCACCCCTATTATTTAAAATTGGGGGCCAAGGCCTATGAAACCAGAAATAAGAAGTATAGCTATAGAAAAGCAAAAGGAGACAAAGTCATCATAATTTAATTTGCAGATAACTGTCCACCCACAAAATCCAAGATTCATGAAGATAGTTTTAATAACCATTTTTCTACATTTAGAGAAATGAATACAAAGAATGACTTTGCTAGAAGCAGAAAATTTGGGCCATTTATTATTCAACTCCCTTGAACAATACAGTAATACAAAAACTGGTTCTCATCAGAAGGTCTTAAAGCAATTTGGCATATACAAAGTCAAAGTGAAGAATAGAAAATCTCTCCAGTTTCTCTGGTTCATTGTGGTTCAAAGGTATAAATTTACTGAATAATTCTTCTTTATGTACATATTTGTTCATAGTCTCTCCTCCACTAGAATGTAAGCTCTCTTCTATTTTTCCTCCATTGTACTCCTAGTACTTATATGGCGCCCAGTGATAATGGTGTGATAAATGTTTGCTAAATAAGTCAGTGAACCAAATGCCTTCTCTATGGTGCACATCCTGCTAGGAACTGAGTTCAACATCTTCTCAGTGTCAGTTGGTGGAGACCAAAGCATAAGGACATGACAACCATTATGTCAAAGACATCTAGATAGATGTAAGTGAGAGTATTACAGAAGCATGCTAACTCAATGATCATCTGATTAAAAAGAAACTACTAGAGAAGACAATGTGGAAAGATCTCAACTTCTTACCATGAGCCCACATTTTATTTTGCTGTAGCTATTTCAGCTAATATGCAATTTGCAGGTGTGCCACAGGTGTCAATTATCTTGCAATAGTCAATCACCCTTTCTTCTTAGTAACAGAACCCTGATTTGAAGATCAGGGATCAGGAGGGTAACAGCAGGGGTGGTGAGAACTGGTTGGGTTCTGAATGTATTTCAAAGGTAAAGCCAAAGGGACTGGCTAACAAGCTGACACAGGTGTCAGAAAAAGGGAGGTATCAAGGGTGATTCCAAGATCTGAGCAGCTGGAAGGGAGGAAATTCCATAACTGAGACAGTCAAGACTATGGGAGGAGCAGGCTTCACAAGAAAGGTCAGGTGCTCCATTTTGGATGTGCTAAGTTTCAGGTACGTACTAGACATTCAGGTGGAGAAGCATCTTGGCAGCTGAATATATGAACCTGCAGGATGGGGAGCAGTCTGGGCTGGAAATGTAAAATGTGGGGGTCAGTATTGAGATGGGACTTAATGTTCCAGGAGTCCACAGATCACTCCAAGGAGTGAATGTGGAGAGTACAGAGGTCCAAGATGGAAGTCCTGGAGAACTCTCAAAGTTCAATCATAAGAAGAAGAAAAACAAGAACAAGCCAAGGAGACTGAGACCAGTGAGGAGGATAAAAGCCATCACTGTGGTTTCCCGGGAATCAAGTGAAGGAAGAGCAAATAAGAGGGTGGTTGAGTGGGGGCTACTGCTGCTAATAGTTAAATAAGAATTTGGATGAGAACTTGAATGAGGACTTAGAAAGGACTTAACAAGATCAAGATCATGTGTGAAAAGAGTTACCAGTGATACAATGGAAAATGAGGCTCTCATAATGGGAGAAACACCCTACAAATCTGGGGGCTCACAATTTCCCAGATAAAACCATCATTCAGACATACTCTTGAGAAACTGTACAATTTCAAGGAAAAAGAAATTTTCAAGTTTCTAATATAAAAAGTTAAAATGAGGCTTATTTCAGATTTTAATCAATGCCAGAGGTCAATGAACCTCAAAGAAAAGTTAAGATTCACATAGAGGTGATCTCACTTTTGAAGGCTTACCTTATAAATCCCACTGTTACTCTTCCCCTTTAAAAGGTCCCTCCCCATACAGTCATTTATCAGTGACCACTGAAATTTTAAATACAGTGATCAGAGAAAGCGTCACTGAGACTATTTCTGATTTCCTTCTATAAGCCAGACATTTACAACCAATAAGAGACCTGGACCAAACTGAAGATACAGAGATGTATGGAATTGATGGATCAATGGTGACAAGAAAATGGAACAGGTGCTCATACCTATGGAGAAACTTGACTGACTGCATGGGTGCATGTCCTGTCATATGTCTCTAATCCAAGAAACAATTTGAGCAAGAGGATAATCTCTCTTTTGAAATGCTTAAAAGAGATCTAGAAAAATCACCAAATAAAGAAATTTTCAGCTCAGGAAAAGATGGTTTGATCACTTCTGAAAACTTGTTTGCATAATGTAGTTCCAGGCTGTGGGAGGGAAGCATCAATAATTCAGAAGCATCAATCATTTCCCCGCCAAAGGTTGGCTGAAATCACTGAAGAAGGAGGCTTTAGGCAAATAGGTATTAACAAAATACAGATCAAAGAATCCTAAAATCAAAACAAAACCAAGAAACTCACACCTACTACCTTGGAACTGCCCTTCCTACAAAGGCTTATCATTGAACATATTTGGAAGTATTTGTGCACATTGGACTGACAAAAACTTTTTACCCAGATGACCCCAAATGTTAATACACACCAGATTTTCTTAGAACAATGAAGAATCTGTATGCTAGCTAGATCTATTTACGGAAAAGGAAGCTTTGATCTTCCCTGGACTCATATTTTAAGAGGCTCTCCTAACACAGAATACTTAGGGCAGGGCTTTTATATTAAATATTTGGTTTTTCAAGTTAATAAACATTTGTAAAAGCCTTTGCTGATGTTCTAGTTGACACTTATGCTGAGGGAAATAGGCTTCTAGGAAAGGAATCCTGATGGATAACATTGGCCCTAAAGCAGTGTTCTCAATCGGAGATGATTTTGCCCTGCAGGGCACATTTGGCAATGTCTAGAGACTTATTAAAAAATTTAATGGGGGGGGGTGTTTGTTTGTTTGTTTGTTTATTTTTAATGGAGGTACAGGGGATTGAACCCAGGGCCTCATCCGTGCTAAGCAGGCATTCTACAACTGATCTAAACCCTCCCCCACCCCTGAGACACTTTTGATTGTCACAACTAGGGGAGGGCTACTGGCGTCTAGTGGGTAGAGGCCCGGGATGATGCTAAACGTCCCACAGTGCACAGGACGGGCTCCCACAAAGATTAATCTGGCTCAGAATGTCAATCGTGCTCTAAACAATCACCTCCCAATTTTAGGGGTTCCTCGGCTGACTGATAAGCCAACACTTCCATGTAAGTCTGCAATGTCTCTGACAGCTTACCACTTACTTACATGTGTTTTCTGCAAATGGAATTTGAGTGCTAAATCCAAAACACACAGGGCTGAATTAAAAAACTCTGAAGTGGTGTCACTACTGTGGAAAAGTATGTGTGACCACAGAAAGCAACTACTTTCAGATGATTAAATGTGGTCGCTGTGGTGGGGAGCGGGGGTGTGGAAATACAGGGACCACAAACTAGTGACAAATGAAGTCCAAACTATAGTACTTACATTTTTTGGATCAATGGACTCGGCTGCCTTTACTATCCCATCCAAGCACTTCCCAATGATCGGAATCACCTGCCGGTCCAGCTCCGCATACGTCTTCACTGATTCTCCAATTCTCACTATCCTTCTTTCCTCCATCTCTTGTATTTTCTGCAACATCAGAGTTTGCATAAAATTAATTTGGTCTCCTGTTATTTCAGGAAGTTGCTCTTTGGCAGCATTGTCACCTCTAAAAAATTCTCTAGGAGGGAAATACGCTTATAAAAAGGTGAGAGTTAGAGCAGCCGTAAAGACACTGTGCCTTGCGTCAGCCGGCTGCCCATATGTGTTATGACTTGTTTGGCTGCCTGAATGTGTACTTTACACAATTGCATTCCAATTTCAGTAAGACCCCAAACTCAAGTAGTTTTACTCTTAACACCATTTGGTATGAGATTTCAAATCTTTCCTCCATCTTTGAGCCACTGTCTTATCCTTTACCAAAAACAAAGTATTTGGTTAACTGCCTTGCGCCAACACAGGCTGATTTAACTAGTGTACCCTCCTTCTACAAGCTGGAGGTTCTTGTGTGCTGTGAGCGTAGACACTGTGACACAGAGATTTATTGTTTTTTTCTACAACTGGACCTGAAGTTGTAAAAGATTCTCAAAGTGGGAGAATGTGGATATATCTTTTCTCATACCATTTTTGACCACCTGGAGTAGCCAAAAGAAAACAATCCAAAGGAAAGGAACTGGCATCTGTGCAAACCCTCCAACTGTCTGAAAGCTGCTTTGATTTCTAAAGTTAAGTTGGCATTTCTCTAACCAGAACAGCCCTTTGAACAAAGAGGGGGTTAATCTATGAATCCCAGTTCTGAGACTGACAAAGAATGACTACGGGTGCAAACGAAGGAAACTTGCGAAGGTTACTGATGAATCTTGAGATTCACGTGCTATTTCATCTTAATGCCGGTCACTGTTTGATCTGAATGCTGCAAAGAATGATTTGAGTTAGAGGACGTTTTGAATTCTATAAATACTTAGAAGCCCAGAAACCATGATGCCAATGCAACATGTTTCTAAGCAAAGCAATCCTGAGAGATCTGAACTACTTACCTGAAAGATGTTGGGAATGTGAGTGTGGTAATATTCATGCTGCTCGTGGTTGAATTTCTGAAGATATGATGAGTAATCGGCTTTGCTGTCGTCGGCCATTTGGTGACGGGTTTGAGCTTGTTGTCGTGCCTTAGGGCAAAAATGAGAAAAGCCTCAATGTTCACACATAATCAATAAAAGCCTAGAATTGCAACCTGGAGGGACTTGGAGGGGGTGTATTGAATTTACCTCAAATGTGTTGTATTTAGCAGGTGCTGTTTTTAAAAAATTCTTTAAACAACCCAGTCCAAAAATGGGCAGAAGACATGAAAAGCATTTTTCCCAAGAAGACATGCAGATGGCCAACAGGCATGTGAAAGGATGCTCAGCCTCACTAATTATTACAGAAATGTAAATCAAAGCAACAGGGAAGTATCAACTCACACCTGTCAGGATAGCCATCATCAAAAAGTCTACAAATAACAAATGTTGATACGGATGTAAATTGGTGCAGCCACTATAGAAAACAGCAGTTCCTTAAAAAACTAAAAATCTAACTACCAAAAAAAAAACTACCATATGATCTAGCAATTTCACCCATGGGTATACATCTGGAAAAAAATGAAAACACTAATTTGAAAAGAACACACACCAATGTTCACAGCAGCACTATTTATAATAGCCAAGACATGGAAGTAACCCATGTGCCCATCAACAGACAGCTAGATTTAGAAGATGTGATACACACACACACACACACACACACGGAATATTACTCAGCTGTAAAAAAGAATGAAACACTTCCATTTGCAGCAATGTGGATGGACCTACAGAATATTATGCTTAATGAAATAAGTCAGAGAAAGACAAATACATATGAGATCACTTACATGTGGAATCTAAAAAATAATACAAATGAATATCAGACTCACATGTATAGAAAACCAACTTGTGGTTACCAAAGGGGAGGAGGACGAATGAAGGGTGTGGGATTAACAGATACAAACTACTATATGTAAAACAGATAAGCAACCAAGATATGCTATATAGCATGGGGAATTATAACCATTATTTTGTAATAACCTCTAGTGGAGTATAACCTGCAAACATACTGAATTGCAAGGCAGTACACCTGAAACTAACATAATATTATAAATCAACTATATTTCAAGAAAAAAACAGTTTAGAAGTTGGATTTACTTTAGATAGGGATGTGCACCCTCATTCTTCACAAAGCCCGCCACTCGGTGTTTGCACGTGGCATTACTTTGTAGTTTGACATGTGTGTCGCCATTCTTTACTGTCTGCACTTGGCCCAATTCACATATTTATGTTACCTAGATGGCCTTTGTGGGAACCTCTGATCATTTTTTTTTTTGAGGAGAATATAGGAGATCCATTTTTTTTTATTGAAGTATATAGTCAATTAAAGTGTTGTGTCCGTTTCTGGTGTGTGGTATAACGTTTCAGTCATACATATACATACATACATTCATGTTCATGGTCTTTTTCATTATAAGTTACTCGAGACCCACAAATTTTTTTATCCAATTCTCAATGGAGTTCATGAATAAAGAAGGCATGTGAACCACTGACCTAAATGGACTTTTCTAAAACTCTCCACTACGTTTATTCTAAGAATATACTTTAAAGAAGCTTAAGCATGGTGCCCTTTTTGTGCTTTTTATGTTGGGGGGGGGAGGCAGAGCTATTTTGTTTTACTGCATTGCTTTTCTCCTAAATAATAACAGAATTCATAAATTTGTTTCTCTCTTTTAATTCATAGCTTGGTTCATTACACACAAACAAGAAAGGGGCTATGATTGACAAGCTGCAGAGTCGATTTGAAAGTTCAAACAAGAATGTCTATAAAATCTAAAGTCATCCACAAATACCAGAGACTGTTATGTCGGTAACATAATTCATCTAGTACCTTGAGGGGGCCTTGATAAATATAGTCTCATGAATCTCTAACACAATCTGAGGTCCATGCAGAGCAAAAACTACCCCCTGCCAGATGAAGAGATGACTTGGCTTGTCTCCTTGGCAAAGTGACCACACTGAGCCAAAAACACGGCAGGAAAAGGGCCTTGTAGCCAAGGCAACTTGTGTTTGTTGCATGGTTTTGTTTTGTTTTACTGAACCTAATAGTTTAAAAAGAAGAAAAAAAACCCCACAAGAAAGAAGCGTTCACATGCAAAAACAAAGAAGTGCTGGAGTGGTCTGTTCCACCCTGTCTGACCCTTTGGTACCAGAACGCAACTGTTTTTTTAGCATCTCAGTGTCCTTTATTGGTTTCCTGCCTCAGTGACGAAGGCTTAACCTGATTCTCACTTCCTCCACCGACCTGACTCATCTGCGTACCTGTGAAAGCCGCAGGTGGTCACTCAGAGCTGCTTCCTTTATTTCCTTCTTGATTCAGGAGTAAACGCTTCCCAAATGAAGGTAACAATATTAATATTTCCAAACTGATTTCCTTAGCACCTGAGGTTTTTCATTTCTTCAGGCCGTTAGGTATCTCAGAACCATTTTACCCACTTCTCACCTCCCCTTGGTTAGTTCAGCTGCCTCATTCTTCCTCTTCGCTGCAGCCTGTTAACTCCCTTCCTGACCATATGCTTTGGCTTCCACTTTACTGTGTCCACTAGTAAATCTATTAAGCTAGTCCCCAGCATGTGAAGTCCCCAGCGTCCCTGTAAAACTCGTGCCCTTACGATGTGCAGTAACCCTCCTCTGTTTAAATACTAGCTCCCCACCTACATGCACTCCATCTGTTCCCCTAAAGCGACCAACTCAAAAATCCTTTTAACTCTCTCACTTACCTAGAGTTTGATCATTTGTCGCTCTGTTACGACTACGGAAAAGAAAAAAAACCCAAAAAACAAGGAAATTCCCAGGTAGACCTCCTATTTTTAAAACATTCTCTATTTCATTCACAAGCCTTCCTCAGAAAAAGTCTTACAAAAATCCAAGGGGAGGGAGGTCCCTCCATCTCTTTTGGAAATAAGAGTAACAAAGTGGAGGGTCTCCTTATTTATTTTGGAGAAATGATTTCAACTTGGTGAAAACTTAAAACAGCTTAGTTCTGAAACAGAGGTCAGAATGTCATCCTTATGTATGTATGTAGGTACACACACACACACACACATACACACACACACACAAACAGACGAATGCTTCCTGGCAATAAATCTGTCACGACCGTGGGGTATCTGACCCATGAGAACCAGAGGGGAGCCTGCTGGAGGTGCCAGCACCATTTGGCTGGAAGTGGCTCTGATCCTCTCACCCCCTGGCTCCCAGAATCTCTCATTACGTTTTCGCTTTGGCTCTATAATTGCTTTTGTAAGCATATTAACTGAGAATAGTTTCACGATGCCCCTTACACTGTTTATCTGCAGTAATCCTGAAACATAACGAGGAAATACTAGACGTAAACTGTGGAAGAAGCTGAGAGAAGGAATAACTCATATAAAACCCAGCCTGAACAGTTAATGAAGCCGAGCAAAGAAAACAGACAAGAAGGAACTGGGAGTTTTCTTTTCTTTTTTTAATTTTTAAATTTGTTATTATTTTTGAGGGGGAGGTATATAGGTTTGTTTGTTTATTGAAAGGAGGTTTTGGGGATTGAACCCAGGAATTTCTCTGGGAGTTTTCTTGAAGAACAAAGTCTGGACATAAGACTGCAAATTTTGTGTATCTCTACTGCGTCTCTCTGTCTTACTCACTAAAAGGACAGAGCAACATTTAAAAGCAGCAAAATATTGTTGTACATCATATTCTGCAAGGCCACAGCAGAAGACAGGACGATCTTAATCTCAATCCCAGCTGCTTTGAATTAATACCCACTGTTGAATCCCGGGCCCAGGAATGTGCCATTGTTCTGACCAAGATTTACTATGGAAATCTATTTTTGTTGCCTAAGCTGTGATGTTTATTCTGCAGGGGAACTTCAAGAGTCTTTCTCTAAAACTGGCGCTGAGTCAGTGACTGGTTACAAATAGATTTAAAAAAAAAAATCTTTAAAAGCATTTTCAAACACTTATTTGGAGTAACCAGTAAGTAACCAGATATTTTAGGGAGTGTATCTCCTAAAGTCTAAGGCTACATGAAGATTATAAGCATCATCATTTTTCATTACTTTTTAAGTCAGTTTAAAAATAGCAACTATTATCTTAAAGAGGTATTTCCATTCTCTGCCTGACCATAAGCTATTTCTTTTCATTAAAGTTCCCATTCTAAGAATTAAAGACACTGCATCTTACTGAAGTGAAGAGAGAAGTTCAGAGGATTTTTTTTTAATGAGTCAGAGTTATACAGAAATTTAGAGATAATATTCTAAGAAAGCCCAGAATGACCACAATTGCCGAGGCTTGTAAGTCATAGATCTCTTTAAATAAGATCTACACTACTTTCACTGTCAATCAGAAAGACTGAATTTAAACCTTAGAATTTCTTTGATAATCCTTGGGAATCTCCCCAAATAAATCCAAATAGGCCTAAGTATATGACTTCACTGCTTACTAATTCTTTTTTTTTCTCTCTATTTTGGGTGAAGGGGAGGAGGTAATTAGGTTTATTTTTATTTATTTTTAGAGGAGGTACTGGGGATTGAACCCAGGACCTTGTGCATGCTAGGCATGTGCTCTACCATTTGAACTATACCCTCCCCCAAATCCCTCAACTAATTCTTAAAATAGCACAACTCAAAGGCCCTTCGAAGTAAGGCTGTGCTGCCTAAAAGGTCAGAGTTACAGTTTCTAAATAAAGAAAACAAATATTTTAGAAACTGAGCTGCAGGGCAATGCTTCTAAATTTTAATGGGTTGAAAGACAAAAATACTGGAATCCGGTTAGTTAAATTTAGATGCTTAGCATGGCCAACGTGTGCACCTACTTCCTGTTCAATTCACTATTACTTTTGCCTTAATATTTCAACTATTAAGGAGAAAAGAACACTGCTGATCGAGGCTCAAGGTCAAGAGCAGAGACGATGAGGTGTTCCAAGTAGTGTGTTCACTTTGACACGAGGAACATGGTAGATTTTCCTACCAAGTTATACCCTCCCAGCTTTCATCAGGGCTGCCTATGGCCTTTGACCTTTTAACAAAAGGAGCAAAACTGGACTGGTTCTATTTATATATTTCTTGT